TAGATATCCCGTTGATAGATATTATAAGCTCGAAATCATAGCCGAGCCAGAGAAGCCGTGTTCGGTAGAGAGGGTTAACATATATTTACTGAAGGAAGGGCAAATACTTAAATAAGCGCAAGACATCTTCGCAAATCTAGCAATATAGTTCCACTGTATCCCCTAAAAGCCACGAGGACGATGTTTGACCTTATGAAAGCTAACAAAAGGCATCGTCTCGGTATCGGACGATGTCAACCCCAGGCTTTATTGTGGTAGGAAGCAGTTTGAGCAATGAGAGCCTAAGCGAAGTTTAGCAACGGTACATCCTGACGGAAAAATAGGCTCGAGAATTTACATCGATGCTTATCAGGGCTAGGGTCATATAGATTACAAAGTTACCGAGGAAGTCTTTTGACCTAAATCTATTTTATCAGTGGCTCAGTTATTTTCAGACACTAGCTCTTTGATGGATCACTGTGACATAAGTTCGCCGGGCCGCTTCCCATACAAGCGCCAAGCGATACTCATGGCAATCAGACCTATCCTTCTATCACTGAGATCCACATCACATGTCTCTTTACATGCTAGCCCTGCCAAGCTGTTGTATGGAAGAAGGATTTCAACAGAGATGCTGGACTTTGAATGCGGTGACGAGAATCCCGATAGGAGACCAGGAGCGACAGATTTTAAGAGATTAAATGACTGCGCAACAGCTACGAGGTGCAAATTTAGCAAAAGGGGAAAAGGTGCTTCGATTTGACCAGAGAGAGAGAAAGAGAGAGGGTGAGGACGGGTGCAATGAATGTAAATGATGGAGAAGTTTCTTGCTGCCTCGCTGTATAATCTTTCCAAGACCTGGTGAGTAAGGAAGGAAGATGAGAGAATGTTCTAAACGTTCCGGAATGATTATGCCCTGGGAAACTCGAAGACTTCCAAGACAATGAAATTGAGCAAGAAGCAGCGATGTCAAATGTGTGAGCTTATCAGCCGAAAAGACCAAACTAAAGAGAAGGTGGTTATGGACTGGTCATGTTAGGACATACAGAAGGACGAAGAAATCCTGAAGATTACAATTACCGGCCACCAGAACGAGAGGCTGACCAACTGAGACGAAGCTAGACACAGCGCGTTGGGAACAAACCTTAGGAAAGTACACTGAGATCATAGTTCAAGGGCGGAGAGGGATCAACTGAGAAGGTTGATTCTAACCATCCTTTCCATCAGTGGGGAAGGTAAGATGATAACGATAACGAGCACGCAGCCTTAATTTCCTTGTTTTTGCATGCCGACTCATTCACGACATAAACATTACAAACGAACCAGACAGAACGACCTAACTTTACCGACGGATCGAAACAGACCGGTCACGAGCGACTTACACCACTAGAGTCTTACAGCCAATAACATCAGGGCAAAACTGACCAACTATTTCACACGAACTGAAATAAGAACGTTCTACCGACAACAACTATTCACTTGACTCTGATGATGACTTCCGCACAGGTTGTCGAAACGTCAGTCACTACCACCGACAACAGTCCTTCTCAGGACTACACTCACCCGGACGATCACATTACACTTTCACATGTTACCCACGGGTTCAAGCCATTTACTGAAATTAGAAAAGTTCGCCGCACAGGCCGTCAATTGTTTGAATCTCAAGTTCAAACCATTAAAACACGAGAAACTACTCAAACATGAATCTCACCAAGGCTGCTGACAACATTAAATTTTCCTTTTCCCATCCTACATTTTCAATAATAGCAATTGAATGGTTGCAGTTTCTGCAGTGAGCCGTGCCTTCAGGCGGATTTCTTTTTGGACAAGAAATGGACTGCTGTTTGTTTGATATCACTGATAATTACACCGGTAATTCCAATAAAACATCATTTTATGGAAGGCTTTTGCTTTCTGTCGTTAATCATTTCATATTGTATCGCTTCCATTGTTTGAAAAGTGGTGGTTGAATTCTACCTCGTACACGTTTTAAAGGCATTACCAGAATCATATTCATACTGTCCCTAATTACCAAACATATATATACAAATGGACTGAGGTCACTGAGATTCAGCTAATAAAATCATCTTATTGAATTTAGAAAACTTTTTTAAACAGTAGGATAATTGTGTGCATTGATTAAGCACTCGGTTTTCATCAAGCTAAGAATAATGCGATAGTCGCTGGAGTTCGAAAAAGCCCTGTGGTTCGAAGTGCATTTTACTTCTTTTATGCAAATTCATTTCTCAAAGGATACGGCCAGTCCTTTTTGACACCATATCTTTGCTTCATCATACAACTCTAGCTGCACACAAGCTTCAGCTTATTATTATGGTGTAACCTTACTCGCCTTTTTCCCCAATCTTGAGTATTTTTTCGTCTTTCCTCTCTTTTTTAACTCACCTCTAACTTTAACAACTGAATGAAACAAGCTCACCGCGGCATGAAAGTGGCAATTAGGTTTTCTATTTCTCGGTAGCAATGGTGTCCTAGAGGGTCATCTTTGCTCTCGATAAAAAGCAAATCAATTTTTCTATCTTTCCATTGAGTCTGCATTCCATAATTTTTTAGATATATTTTCCCTTACCTTAAGAACTCTTGCTAGTAAGATCCAGTTCTTCTTTAGATTGTGCAGGAGAAATTATTATCAGCCACTTAAAAATAACACAGAATCAAACTGGTTTGCTTTCTGTCACAGACATTTGTTTGAAAACGATTCTGGATGAAGAGGTAAAACAGGAAAACATAGCACGGTCAAAAACCTTCGAGAAAAAGTTTAATGTTCTATCAGTTGAATGACTCAAATCTACGAAGAAAGTAAGCTAAGCAAAATAGATATACAACATATTTGATTAGACCGAGTTCACTGAATTTGAAATAGAAATGTAAACACGTTACAAAATTCCTTAACTTTAGGAAAGCAAATCGTCAAATTTTAACAGCTTCCCATGAGCACTTTATTGATCTTGCGATCTTCTTGGTCGCCATGGTGCGTAGAAAAAAATTGTTTAACGAGGGCGATTAAATTTGCAGGGGATAGTCGTCAATTTTAAGACTTATGTTCAACCAAAGTAATTAAACGCTAAACGCACACTTGTGTTGAATAACGCAGAAATAATTATACCACACACAGTGTTCTTTAGTAGACGAGCAGTCCTATGGAGGTAATTAGGTGTCATTTCTGGAAACTGAAACCAGAACTTCACGTTTCATTTTCGTATGTCATGACGTAATACGTTGCTTGCATCCTTCTAAAAACATAAATGTCTTGAATTTCGTTTTCAGTAGGCAAGTAAGAAACATAAGTTATTTCATATTTCCGAGGATGTCCAGCTGTCAGAACACTGCAATTCTAAGAGTAAAGTACATTGGTCATCAATAATAGGTCGCATCAATCTTTGACATAGAGCCGGGGCAGTTTCGAGTCTGTTAACTTTTGGTCGAGCCATCGAGGGTCGAGGTTCTTATGTCGAGGTCGAGGGTATTTAGTAGAGAGTCCCTTTTTTGGTTTTCTTTTTCGCAGCCCATGTTCCTAGTCGAGGGTCCCTTTCTTCTTTTTCTTGGCAATAGAAAATACGAATCATCGCATTGCGTGAAACCGGATGTTGACGTTGTCACGAAATCAAGGCAAACTAGTTCTGTTAAAATAAATTGACTTGAGTTCAAATGCGATCTTGAACGTCACGTCCACTGTCCGCTTCCAGGTTCTTTGGCTGACAAAGTCGGCCTGTCGTGCTATATGAGCCAAGAAACGAAATGGAAAATCTGTACTTTGTGAAATAAGAATCTGTAGTTTGCCAAAGGACTTTATCGCTGCGTCTACTAAACAACGCCAGGTCAGAGTGCCCGGGTAATGCGTGAAAAGTTATTGGGGGGGCGAGAGTGGGCAGATTTTGAAATGTGGAAATTTTTTTCGTTATTATTTCTCGTATGAATTTTTTTGGCGATAGCATGGATATGTTTCAGGGTTAATTAGCGTGCATGGACTTTTTTTTCATTCAATTTTCCCTTTCGCGAATATGTTTTTTTTTTACTTCGCTCGCCCTCACCCCTAAGTATTTTAATTGTCCGTCGTGTTTTAGCGACCAACACGAACCGGAAGCAAGGCCGTTTCCCTTTTTAAATGCCTTGACGATACCACATTTGTATTGATAAGTGTCAATACTCTTATGCAGGCGTTCTGCCTGAAAATTTAGTCAAAACCACCACGGACGTGGACGTGACGTTCAAGATCGCATTTGAACTTAAGTCAATTTATTTTAACAGAACTAGTTTGCCTTGATTTCGTAACAACGTCAACATCCGGTCTCACGCAATGCGATGACTCATATTTTCTAATGCCGAAGAAAAAGAAGAAAGGGACCCTCGATTAGGAACATGGGCTGCGAAAAAGAAAAACAAAAAAAAGGGACCCTCGACTAAATACCCTCGACCTCGACATAAGAACCTCGACCCTCGATGGCTCGACTAAAAGTTAGACTTGGCAGTTTCTTATGCCTGATTTAAAACGTTTAAAAAAAACCGATTATTTAATTACAAGAGGTTTTAAGGCCGCGTGCCCCGTTGTCAGCCCAATTTTGCTATCAAAAAATTCATCTCAAAATTCCTTACCAAACCATTATTTGCGAGAGCCAAAGCGGTTATTTTCACCTGGCTATCGTAAGGCTTTAGCCTGAATTCATCTTCAGTCATTGAAGATATTTTGTTTTTAAGACTTTAAAACCGCTTGTTGCATGTAATGGCGAAGTGATCTACGAATGCGTTTCAACTAAAGTTAAGAAGTTTGAAAATATACAACTCTTATCTTCAGATATCTCCATCTGAATTTTCCATTCATCATAGAAAATTTATCGCTCTTTGACATAAGATTTTCGTTTAGGAAGAATTGGGAACAATTGCTATTTTGATAAGCGACAACAAGGTCATGATTCGAGGCAGAAGCAAACATTTGACAACTTCAAAGCAAAGTAAACTTGCGCTTGGAAGCATTGATAGAAACAGTCATGAAAATGACACCCATGCACGTGTTTTGAACCAATTTATTTGCCTTCGAGGAGAGGTTACTTCTTGGTACATGACTTTCTCAAATCTAGTTCTTTTCTTCGTTTCTATCATTTTTCCTTCCTTTAATTGCTTCATTCCTCGCCGTCCCACACTCCTCCTTCAGGAATTTCCTCTGGTTTGTACATCCAGTACATTTTGAAGTATCGATGACGTATGCCAATGTTTTGAATCCCTTTCATGTCATCTTCATCCAAGTTCACATGAAGTGCTTCAAGGTTTTCTTTGATATGATTTTCAGAGACAGATTTTGGGAGGACTGGAGTGCCACGCTTAATACCCCAGGCAAGAGCGACCTGCATTTAGACCAGAAAAAAAAGCAGGGACTTAGACCTAAGCTCCCAAAATCCACACTACGCTTTCTCTTATTTTTGTATGAAGGAGAGAGACCCGTAAACCCTTTAATTTGATAAGGATCACGGAAGAATGTATTCAAAAAGAATAATGAACGTTGGAAAAATGGGCTGAGAAGTTTGCACCATTGACCAAGAGAAAAGTCACTATGGCTGTAGCCTATATACAATAGCTGACGGTTTTGAGAAAGCTTTTTAGAGTAGCGGAGCTGAAAAACGAGCAGTAGAAAGGCGAGAGGCATGTATGAGATCAACACACTTGCGCGTGTTTCCAATGATCCTCCTCGAGGCGCCAACGAGTTAATTGTGTTTGAGCGCCCCCTTGCTAAACCGCGTCGCATGATGGCCGCAAAATGACCAACATTTTCACTTCTCAAAAAACATCTGGCCTGGTCACTTTACAAAGCTCAGTTTAAAAATGTATCAAACCGACTCGAACGTAAATTAATTTCCTGTCCATTTATATCAAAGGCTTACGCTTCTTACCAAGGCAGCCGTAGTATTGTGTTTTTGTGCAATTTTTGTTAGCACTGGATTCTCCAGCACTACTGGTTCTGTTGGGTTGACAACCGGTCTGTCTGGGGAACCCAGCGGAGAATACGCCGTCACAGCGATTCCTAAAAGTTTAGTAACGCGAAACAATAAATGACGTTCTCATATCGTCCAGAAAAATTCAGAAAAAAAAAACCTCTTACCCAGCAGCTGGAGGATGGATAAAACAACAACAATTTCATCAACCACAATAACATCGACAGTAACAGAATGCAATGTTAGGATTCTAAAATGTTCTTTTTTTTTCTTCACCTTTACTCTTTGAGAAAGATATAAATTCATCCTGGTGTAAATATGGATGAAGTTCCACTGCAAAATAGAAACAAAAAAAAAATCAACACAACGCCAGTTATAACCAGGCAGTTACTCTCCATACACTATCATTTTCGGATCTTAAGAGTATATACCTGTCTTCTGATAATTCTTTCGTAGTGAAATGGGTCAAGGCTGTTACTCAGAGGGGAGGGGTCATATGACGCACCTGATTGCCTGTTTGTCGATAGAAATCGATAATTTATAAGAAATGGCAAAACGTCTTAGTTGGCCTTCATCTTAAAAAAAAACTAGTCGCCCTCTTAAAACTGGCTGACTGGGAGACAAATAGGAAGGAGGTTGCTTGGAATACACCCCTTCGCGCAATTTTTCCTTTCGTAAGCGGCCGTTGCCATTTGAAACGGTCGTTGCCATTTTGAAACTGTCGTTGCTATTTTTCGAAACAGTCGTTGCCATTTTGTAATGAATGGCATCGACTGTTATCGAAAATGGCATTCATTACAAAATGGCAACGACTGTTATCGGAAATGGCAACGACCGATTCAAAATGGCAACGACCGTTTCAAATGGCAACGGCCGTTTACGAAAGGGAAATCCGCTTCGCCGCCACAGATGAACCCCATCACAACAAAATACAGGTTATGACGATTTAAAAGATTATCTGAGCTTGATTCTTGGTGGTAATACCTTGATTACAAGCTGGCGGTATTCTTGCAGTTTCTAGAAGAGTCTGAGTCTTCTTCATGGAGAAGTTCGAGATTCCAATGGCTTTGCAGAGACCTTTATCGACAAGTTCTTCCATTGCCTGCAACAAAAAAAAATAAGCACGTATGACGTGCATGTGTAGCTCACGAACTGAAATGGTTGCAGGAAAGTAGAAAAAACTTAAAGCGTCGAATCACTGAGATAAAGAAAGCATTGAAAGAAATTTTGATGCTCATGATAGGAAAAAAAAAAAAAAAAGACCAAATTAAAAGACATCATAATGACGCTAGACCGAGGGAGAAAACCAACGCCGGAGAAATGACACTTGTAAAACACCAATCACAGCCGGCCATGGTCCAGTCGACTTGTCAGGTTTCTCTTCTCAACAAATACAAAGTTTAAATCAAGATTTTGTTTCTGTCTGAGTGAAGCTCGGTGGCTTTTATAAATGAAGGAGTCCCGAAAGAGAAGTTCCGGCCCAGAATACTTTAACTTCTTGTGCGCGCCACGAGAGCACATTTCGAGAAACAGTTTAAAAAAATAGGGAAGAGGAGGCGCAGTAAGTAAACTACGTGGACAATTTAGTGGAGCGGTAACGCTCGGAGAAAGTGATCATTCCCGACAATACTGGGAGGACATGTCCCTATTTGATTGCTTTGATTATCGTTGACAATCTAAGCAGACCTTCCAAGTATTTGCAATGCCTTCAGGTGAATAGCCAATCACACCATCTGCAATACACCGCGTCGGGCTTTTTGCGTCTTTCTTGAATGCGCAAGGGAGATGTACCTAAATGAAAGCAGAAGAATGAAGCAATAATGTGACTCTTCTTCGTAATTCATATTGACGGACAACAGTATCGACGGTCAAAACTGGCGTAGTTTAATACAACTCAGGTCAGTTTACCAGGTACAAGTCGAGGTAGTCCAGCTGTAAATTTGTCATTGTTTCCTGGCAAGCGGGAAGGACATCTTCAGGTGCATGGTGTCTACACCTGAGAAGGAGACGAAGGGAATAATTAGTTGGAGAAGCACCACACGTTCATGTCCGCTCATAGCCCACGGTGCAAGCGTCTTATTGGGGCGAGTTAACGTTATTAGCTCGTGATCGTTTATCCAAACGCCATGTTTGATTTGGAGTCAGAATGGATGGTGGAAGTAGGGGGCGGGAGAAGCACTCCCCACCCCAGCCTCTCTCCTTATTTTGACCGTCACTCATCCCCCTGCTGGTACACATTTCTCTCTCTCCCCAGCCTTCCACTGCCATTAAAATTAAAGATGGCAGCCATTTTTCGCTAAGAAAACATTGAGTACTCGCTCCCCCAAATTACGCCTGCTCTGCAGGTTAGTCGGCTTATTATTTCACTTTCTTCACATTTTACTGTCTACGTGGCTTGAATTCAATCTTAATCCTGTTCGTACACTAGCCGCACTGATTCGTTCGGTCTCGGGAAAACTGAGCTTCGTACACGAAGTCGGGGCTTGATGGTGAACTATCAGAGAAAAATCTCGTAGTCTCACACGTTTTTGTTACCTTTTGTTTAAGTTCCATTCCAAAATAAAGGAGTTTCCTGGCAAAAACTTATCAAAAAGAGATAGAGGCAAACAAGACATATCAAACGATGAGAGAAACCTTCGTTTTCGTTTTATCAATAATGAACGAGTGAGGCGCGCGCTGAGAAAGAACTGGGACGTCTACGAAAAACGTAAACCGTACTCCACTTTAACCTCAAAATATACAAGTCTCCTCTCAGGAACCGAGGATATCAATATGTGATCACGTGGACGCATTGCTCAGTGCCAGAGAATACTTACCAGAGTTTGGATGTGATAAACACGTCCTCTCTTTTCAACTTTCCTTCTTTGAAGACTTCAGTTAACACTTCACCAATTTCCTCTTCGTTATCGTAGGCCCAAGCGCAGTCAATGTGTCTGTATCCATATTGCAAGGCTAGCCTAACAGCGTTTCCGACGGTCCCCTTTTTGGACTTCCAAGTCCTTAAAGTTAATCATAAATATCGGTTTAGATCCAATACTAGATAACTTCCCTTCTGACCAAAATTGAGTAAGGGTATTGTAGCGGTAGGCTTCATTGGAAAGAACTGTCATTGCATGTTATCTGATGCAAGTGATGAAGTAGGCTGTATAGCCTGAGAATTTGGTTTATCGACGCTCGAAACGTCAGCTTCAGTAATTCTCTACGATGACCAATTTACGTTATCAAATCAGTTGATAAAACCATATCATCTTTCATTATCTAACTACACACCGTAGAGTAAAAATAACGCCATAGACGAGTACAAATATCGCGCGGTATTTGTACTCCAGAGTACCGGTTGAACAGGTTTTCTCGCATCGCGCAAGCGAACAATTGAATTGAAGTTACAAAAATAAAAAATGGCGGACAATTTGAGTCATATTTCTGACGACGAAGAGTCGGAATGGCTGGCAAATATAAATCCAAGTTTACTTGAGGAATCGAGCGAAGAAAAACAGCTAGATGACCAGGAAATTTCTTCATTTACTGAAGAAAATAGAAACGCATTTGCTCACGTCAGCAGCGTACACCCATGGGCAAATGGGGGACGCTAACTTGACCGATCAGAGCGCGCGCTTTACTTTGGTTATGTTATAATAATCTTTGTTGATCCTTGTGTTGTCTCTCCTTTGATTCATTGAAAACTGTTTACCACTAGGATTCATCTCGTGTCTTGAATTTATCTCATATCTAGTTGACGACTTTTCCAAATATTGGAAAATAATAAACGAGTTGCCTTACCCCAAGCCGATAGAAGGCATCAGAGCTCCATTGTGAAGCTTCACTCCTTCAGCAGCCGCCTATTAATTACGTCAAAAGGGAATTTTAAAAGGAGTTTAAAACAAATTGCGTTATTGACTTGCGTTAGGTCACAACCTACAGGCGTGAACGAGATACCTTTTTGTTTCCTTGAGTTCACCCCAAAGCCTCGCTTTCAAGATGCCGTCAACTGATCTTGATAGGAAAGAAAAGTTGTCCCAAAACACCGAAATCAAAAGAATATTCCCATAAAACATCAAGAAAATGTCAAAGATTTGTTAAAGTTTTGGTATCAACAAGGCTTGGGGTGAGTTCTCCGTTACGTCGTCGTGCAACAGAGCTGCTCGAAGATTTAGATCGAGCCAACCATGCATCAAATTTCAACGCATGTATGCAAATTTAGATGTTTACACAAACTAACAGAGTGAAATCTGTGTATAACCACGGGAGAAAATGTGAAAATTAAGCAGTAAAACTTTGCTCAAGTAGCTTACAGCGTGCCGTTATTGGGGAAGTAATACACATGCCTAGAATTTGCGTTTGCGGAGGCAGCGTGATTATTGCGCTTAATTGCGTGACATTCCCGCAAGGTTCATTGAATGCAGAAATGCAACAAATCAATCTACCCATGTAATGTTATAAATCGTAAGTTCGATGAAGAAAGGAAGTCTGCAGTTTTGACAGCAACCGAACAGACTCTGGATCTGGACCCAACACTCCTTCCTGATCGATCGTCGATCGATACGCAAGTTGTACTGGCGATGATCGACCCCAAAAGATCCGAACAATCAGTGACGAGCTCAGGACACAAACAACTTAATTATAGAAGAAAGAAAGAATTCAGTTTTCTTACCATTGTGGTTAGTCACCAGATGTATTGAGTCTGAAAGAATTCAGTCAGATTTATATATACGATCTAAGCGCACAGACCACACCATAACAATGACAGTGCAAAAATTAGGTAACCGCTGACAACGGGAACGCGGGCTTCGTAGTAATGAAAGCGACAGTAATGGCATTTGAGGGATTTCTCCCAATTGCAAGTTCGCCCATTACCACCTTTACGAGTTCGTCCTGCAGTTTAAAAATTTCCTGAAACATTATTAGTAACATGGCATCTGAGTCTATTCTTGAAAATGTTGAGAGTTTCTAGTCTGCTAGTTGCTAATGTGGGCTCTATTGCAAAGTTCTTCTGCGTGATTCAGAATAAAAAAAATTGATTGAAAGAATGCTTGTCTTTTACTTGTCTATTGCGGTAATTGTTTGTTAGAGTTAACAAAGGTATACTTTGATGGAAGTGTTTAGAGGTTCGGTAGGAACTTTGGAGGTTACTATAGTGTAAACTGGGTTGGGCCTCGAGAAATTGGTTGAAGCAAATATCAGTTGAAATTTTTCAGATTTGCGATATCAGTAGAATTTTTATTTCTCGATCGTTGGTAGATTATGTCCTGAAAACTTGAGTCGTCGTAACGTCAGTAGTGGGACCTATCCTGTTTCCTCGTTCCTGCTATAATATCAAGAAATGGATAGAGATTCTAGTCTTCTCAGATAAGGACGAATAAACCGTAGGCCCCGTCTCCTGCAAGGTTAGGGGTAAGAGACGTTAATTTCCCACGCACGAGATTACTGTGTGGTGGATGTCCTCCCCTGGGGTGGGATGGGTGGGTTTCCTGGGCCCGCAGTAATTGGCGCAAGCTGTTCTGGTGTCCCTCCCTGTCGGCGAAGCTAATAAACTAAACTAAACTAAACTCAATAAAATCAAATTTAGTAAATAACTTTATAATCAAGTCCAAATAATTTACCAGGTAGAAGAGACACAACAGTGAGAGACACAGTTAGCACAGACATCAGAATCTTGTCGGCAAGTGGATCTAAAACTGTGCCCAATACTGACTTCTGGTTTTTAAAATTTCTTGCTATGAATCCATCAAGCTATAGGAATACAGAGATAAGATGTATGATTATGATTCACCTTAAATTCTTCTTATCATTTTTCTTACGCTGACACCTTTGGATTTCTTTTGTTCCATAGTTCACGTATGCTTTAATGTGCAGGGCCCAGTTGTTCGAAGGCCGACAAGCGCTAACCCAAGGTTAAAATTTAATCCAGGTTTCTATATTTCTCTGTTCAAGAACCGTTTTGGGGTAATTTTTCTAAATATTTTTAGAGCATTCAATCATCAAATTGTAGACAAATGGAATTAAAATAAATTTTTTGGAAGGCTTTCACATCTGAAATCAAATTTTACTCTAACCCTGGGTTATCTTAACCCATCTTTGAAAAACCTGGCCCTGATCAATTGGAAGCTTCAACAAAGACTTGACACTTCAGGTTAAGATTCCCCAGCCCCAGTAAGGCAAGGTTAAAATTTCCCAACTCCCAGGACAAAGGAAAGTAAAAGTCAGGGTATAAATGGA